ACGAAGGAGAGAGAGAATTTAAAGGGGGAGGAGGTTGAGAGTTCAAACGTGAATAAAGGGGGAAAAAAACAATCAAGGAGGAGGATTGCGGGCCAGGGAGAGCGGTAAGGGAAGAGGCAAAGGAAATAAAAAGATTCACAGCTGGCAGCATTTCATTGGCTAGGGATACTGAGCTGTAATGCTGACCTGACACCACCGTGCCAGGAAAGTTTTTCTCCTAAAATAGAGCTTAGTCATCTGGGTATAATGACACCTGTGAGTCTAAAGTGTCTTGTATGTAAAAAGATTTAGATAACAACTAGACTATTGAACTTAGCCATTTATGTATCAATATGCAGAAGTAACAATGAGTTAAGGCTACCTAAAACAAAGAGTGCTGCTAAACGAACCCTAAAATTAACTGAGTACACCCTAATATTTTAATCAAAATGTAAAATTAACTAAGTACACCATATTTAACTACCAAAAATACCCATGTTACACCCTAATATACTCTATCACACAACACCCTAATACCAACCCTAAGCAAGATTACTATTACTTTAAGATCATTGGTTGCATCCTGAATTCCAGCCACGCCATTATTCGCATTACCATTTATATATGTTTTGTTGATTCCGCAATATGCTCTCTTATAAGTTTTTAACCTCTTATTCGGACAATATTTGTAAGGTCATTCCAATCATCCATTTTGGACAGAATAGATCAGTCGAACTTGCTACTTTATTTGTTAATGATTATATGTATTATATATTTATATGAAATATATATAATATTAAAGTTAAACTTCCCGTTGCTGCTAAGGCCAAAATTTCTTGAAGAAAATAAAAAATATGGCAACAAGCAATCATCAATTGATAAGTGAAACTTTGTAGAAAGTTCTCGGAAAAGTAACTGTCGAATTTTACAGATAAACCCTAATCAAGCAAATTGAATAAAATTCTAATAAAAGTACAACAACAAAAACGAAAAATTATCTGAAAAAGTAATGGAAGAACCTTTCGCCTCTGTCAATGCTCGCTGCATTGTTCACCGTGGGCACCAAGCAATAAGAAAACTTATCTACATTTGATTAGGGTTGAATATAGTGAGTAGGGTGTACTTATTAAAATTATATATATAT